ATGGCGGTTATGGCCGTTATGGCGGTTATGACCGTTATGGCGGTTATGACCGTTATGGCGGTTATGACCGTTATGGCGGTTATGACCGTTATGGCGGTTATGGCCGTTATGGCGGTTATGGCCGTTATGGCGGTTATGGCCGTTATGGCGGTTATGACCGTTATGGCGGTTATGACCGTTATGGCGGTTATGGCGGTTATGGCGGTTATGGCCGTTATGGCGGTTATGACCGTTATGGCGGTTATGGCCGTTATGGCGGTTATGGCCGTTATGGCGGTTATGGCGTTATGGCGGTTATGGCGGTTATGGCCGTTATGGCGGTTATGGCCGTTATGGCGGTTATGGCCGTTATGGCGGTTATGACCGTTATGGCGGTTATGACCGTTATGGCGGTTATGGCCGTTATGGCGGTTATGGCCGTTATGGCGGTTATGACCGTTATGGCGGTTATGCCGGTTATGACCGTTATGGCGGTTATGACCGTTATGGCGGTTATGGCCGTTATGGCGGTTATGACCGTTATGGCGGTTATGACCGTTATGGCGGTTATGGCCGTTATGGCGGTTATGGCCGTTATGGCGGTTATGGCCGTTATGGCGGTTATGACCGTTATGGCGGTTATGGCCGTTATGTGGTTATGCCGTTATGTTATGGCGGTTATGGCGGTTATGGCGGTTATGACCGTTATGGCGGTTATGGCCGTTATGGCGGTTATGACCGTTATGGCGGTTATGGCCGGTTATGGCCGTTATGGCGGTTATGACCGTTATGCCGGTTATGGCGGTTATGGCGGTTATGGCGGTTATGGCCGTTATGGCGGTTATGGCCGTTATGGCCGTTATGGCGGTTATGGCGGTTATGGCCGTTATGGCGGTTATGACCGTTATGGCCGTTATGGCGGTTATGGCCGTTATGGCGGTTATGGCGGTTATGGCGGTTATGGCCGTTATGGCGGTTATGGCGGTTATGGCCGTTATGGCGGTTATGACCGTTATGGCGGTTATGGCCGTTATGGCGGTTATGACCGTTATGGCGGTTATGACCGTTATGGCGGTTATGGCGGTTATGGCGGTTATGGCGGTTATGGCCGTTATGGCGGTTATGGCCGTTATGGCGGTTATGACCGTTATGGCGGTTATGGCCGTTATGACCGTTATGGCGGTTATGACCGTTATGGCGGTTATGGCCGTTATGGCGGTTATGGCCGTTATGGCCGTTATGGCCGTTATGGCCGTTATGGCCGTTATGGCGGTTATGGCCGTTATGGCCGTTATGGCGGTTATGGCCGTTATGGCCGTTATGGCGGTTATGGCCGTTATGGCGGTTATGGCCGTTATGGCGGTTATGGCCGTTATGGCGGTTATGGCCGTTATGGCGGTTATGGCCGTTATGGCGGTTATGGCCGTTATGGCGGTTATGGCCGTTATGGCGGTTATGGCCGTTATGGCGGTTATGGCCGTTATGGCGGTTATGGCGGTTATGGCGGTTATGGCCGTTATGGCGGTTATGACCGTTATGGCGGTTATGGCGGTTATGGCGGTTATGGCCGTTATGGCGGTTATGGCCGTTATGGCGGTTATGACCGTTATGGCGGTTATGGCCGTTATGGCCGTTATGGCGTTATGTTATGGCCGTTATGGCCGTTATGGCGGTTATGGCGTTATGGCCGTTATGGCCGTTATGGCGTTATGGCGGTGGCCGTTATGGCGGTTATGGCCGTTATGGCGGTTATGGCGGTTATGCCGGTTATGACCGTTATGGCGGTTATGACCGTTATGGCGGTTATGCCGGTTATGACCGTTATGGCGGTTATGGCCGTTATGGCGGTTATGGCCGTTATGGCCGTTATGGCGGTTATGGCCGTTATGGCGGTTATGGCGGTTATGGCGGTTATGGCCGTTATGGCGGTTATGGCCGTTATGGCGGTTATGGCCGTTATGGCGGTTATGGCGGTTATGGCCGTTATGGCGGTTATGGCGGTTATGGCCGTTATGGCGGTTATGGCGGTTATGGCCGTTATGGCGGTTATGGCCGTTATGGCCGTTATGGCGGTTATGACCGTTATGGCGGTTATGGCGGTTATGGCGGTTATGGCCGTTATGGCGGTTATGGCGGTTATGGCCGTTATGGCGGTTATGGCGGTTATGGCGGTTATGGCGTTATGGCGGTTATTATGGCGGTTATGACCGTTATGGCGGTTATGGCCGTTATGGCGGTTATGGCCGTTATGGCCGTTATGGCCGTTATGGCGGTTATGGCCGTTATGGCCGTTATGGCCGTTATGGCGGTTATGGCCGTTATGGCGGTTATGGCCGTTATGGCCGTTATGGCCGTTATGGCCGTTATGGCCGTTATGGCGGTTATGGCCGTTATGGCGGTTATGGCGGTTATGGCCGTTATGTTATGGCCGTTATGTTATGGCCGTTATGGCGGTTATGGCCGTTATGGCGGTTATGGCCGTTATGGCGGTTATGGCGGTTATGGCGGTTATGGCCGTTATGGCCGTTATGGCGGTTATGGCGGTTATGGCGGTTATGGCGGTTATGGCCGTTATGGCGGTTATGGCCGTTATGGCGGTTATGGCCGTTATGGCGGTTATGGCCGTTATGGCATGTTATGGCATGTTATGGCCGTTATGGCGGTTATGGCCGTTATGGCGGTTATGGCCGTTATGGCGGTTATGGCCGTTATGGCGGTTATGGCCGTTATGGCATGTTATGGCAGTTATGGCGGTTATGGCGGTTATGGGTTATGGCGGTTATGGCCGTTATGGCGGTTATGGCCGTTATGGCGGTTATGGCCGTTATGGCGGTTATGTTATGACCGTTATGGCGGTTATGGCGGTTATGGCCGTTATGGCGGTTATGGCCGTTATGGCGGTTATGATGGCCGTTATGGCGGTTATGGCCGTTATGGCGGTTATGGCCGTTATGGCGGTTATGGCGGTTATGGCGTTATGTTATGGCGGTTATGCCGGTTATGGCGGTTATGACCGTTATGGCGGTTATGACGGTTATGGCGGTTATGACCGTTATGGCGGTTATGGCCGTTATGGCCGTTATGGCGGTTATGGCCGTTATGGCGGTTATGGCGGTTATGACCGTTATGGCGGTTATGGCCGTTATGGCGGTTATGGCGGTTATGGCCGGTTATGGCGGTTATGGCCGTTATGGCGGTTATGGCCGTTATGGCGGTTATGGCGGTTATGGCGGTTATGGCGGTTATGACGGTTATGGCGGTTATGACCGTTATGGCGGTTATGGCGGTTATGACCGTTATGGCCGTTATGGCGGTTATGGCCGTTATGGCGGTTATGGCCGTTATGGCGGTTATGGCCGTTATGGCGGTTATGGCGGTTATGGCCGTTATGGCGGTTATGGCCGTTATGGCGGTTATGGCGGTTATGACGGTTATGGCGGTTATGACCGTTATGGCGGTTATGACGGTTATGGCGGTTATGACCGTTATGGCGGTTATGGCCGTTATGGCGGTTATGGCGGTTATGACCGTTATGGCGGTTATGGCGGTTATGCCGGTTATGACCGTTATGGCGGTTATGGCCGTTATGGCGGTTATGACCGTTATGACCGTTATGGCCGTTATGGCCGTTATGGCGGTTATGGCGGTTATGGCGGTTATGGCGGTTATGGCGGTTATGGCGGTTATGACCGTTATGGCCGTTATGGCCGTTATGGCCGTTATGGCGGTTATGGCGGTTATGACCGTTATGGCCGTTATGGCCGTTATGGCCGTTATGGCCGTTATGGCAGTTATGGCGGTTATGACCGTTATGGCGGTTATGACCGTTATGGCGGTTATGACCGTTATGGCGGTTATGACCGTTATGGCAGTTATGGCGGTTATGGCCGTTATGCCGGTTATGGCCGTTATGGCCGTTATGACCGTTATGGCGGTTATGACCGTTATGGCAGTTATGGCCGTTATGGCCGTTATGACCGTTATGGCGGTTATGACCGTTATGGCAGTTATGGCGGTTATGATCGTTAGATTTTTTGTTTTTTTAAATTGGTTGGTCATTACTACATTGTAAACTGTCTGGAAGACAGTTTATATAGGATGAAAATATTAACAGTGATCAAAAAATATTATTACAAAGCTGCACGTGAATGGTAAATATACTGACGAGAGCAGCATATGTATGTGTATGTATTGTACGTGGATGCTCCTGGTATACATGGACATACATGAATATATACAAGTTAGTTACTTGTTAAGCTAAGAAATATGTATTGAGAACACACACCCACACACACACACCAATGGAACTTTGAGAAGTCGTATTGGATATGAATGTTAGACCAGTGTATTAAAAAATAGTGCGGACATTAACTTATGGAGATTTATTTTTTGTCTGTTCGCTTCGTGTTGTTGTTGCTGCTGCTGTTGCTGTTGCTGTTGCTGTTGTTGCTACTGCTGTTGCTTATCACACACCAGGGTAGGGGGGGGGTTTGATCCCAACACAGTGAGCAATAGGGGGGTAAACATCACTGCTCCCCCAAGACTCTCACATCTGAAATTTTTAACACGATGGATAAAGTTAGCCACTGAGACACAGCTCTGAGGTGTATCACTGAGACACAGCTCTCAGGTGTACCACTGAGACAGCTCTCAGGTGTGTCATTGAGACACAGCTCTGAGGTGTACCACTGAGACAGCTCTCAGGTGTGTCATTGAGACACAGCTCTGAGGTGTGCCACTGAGACACAGCTCTGAGGTGTACCACTGAGACACAGCTCTCAGTGTAAACAAACAAAGTTTGTAAACAAAGCCTCCATGATTAAGGTAAGATGTACAGGTTTCGTAAGAGGTTGAGTAATGATGAACCCCGGCATGTGAGATCGAGTTTGCACAAAGCCGGAAACAAGTTAACACACGACTGTCGTAATGTGTTCCCGGATCCTGTTCTTGAAGCCGGCTCCGGCTTGGTGACCTCGGCCGGCTTGTCCCACAGTGTATGACCTCGCCGGGGGGAGTCTAACGGACCATCTAGATGATGACTTTAAGGAGATTATAGCAATGTTTGTGGTGCGTATCGTGCAGGACACTGACACATGTGGGACACCCGAGGCCACCAGTCGCTGGGCGAAGAGCCGCTGGGCGAAGAGCCGCTGGGCGAAGAGCCGCTGGGCGAAGAGCCGCTGGGCGAAGAGCCGCTGGGCGAAGAGCCGCTGGGCGAAGAGCCGCTGGGCGAAGAGCCGCTGGGCGAAGAGCCGCTGGGCGAAGAGCCGCTGGGCGAAGAGTCGCTGGGCGAAGAGCCGCTGGGCCAAGAGCCGCTGGGTGAAGAGCCGCCAATACGTCAAGAATGCGACGCATTAGATGCAGCAGGAGTATAGTAGTCGCTATCCTGGCTCGGCTTTCGTTGAAGTAAATATTGAAATGTTGCATGCAAGCGTGCAGGTGGTTGGTGGTGTTAGTGGAGGAGGTGAGGAAGGTATTTGTCTGGTAAGCGGCCGCTCATTCAGCCCTTCTAAGTTTACGAAGGAGAAGCCCGCAAGCAAAATATTGGATCATTCTTCATGTGTGGAGGAGTTGGGGCGGAGGGGAGGGTGGGGTAGGCGTGGGGGAGAGGGTAAGGAGGAAGAGAGGAGGGGGGGGGGGTAGGGAGGGTGTTGGATGGTGATTATTGGGGTGTGGAGAAGGTGGGATTCAAGAGCAAGGGGAGGGGGGGGGGTAGGAATGGAGAATTGGGCGGAGGGAAGATAAGAACAGGAGCAGGGAACATATTCTCTCTCTCTCTCTCTCTCTCTCTCTCTCTCTCTCTCTCTCTCTCTCTCTCTCTCTCTCTCTCTCTCTCTCTCTCTCTCTCTCTCTCTCTCTCTCTCTCTCTCTCTCTCTCTCTAGCCTGCTTCCCCCCTAGAGACTCCTTTATTTGATGAGCTTTTTATTTATATCCACAAGGAACCAAGTGATCTTGATGCTATCACTCAAGGAAGAGCAGGAGCCAGAGGTCGACTGACAGGCGTCCAGTGACCGGATGTCATGCGGATCTACATGTTAAGCCAACAAGTACCAGATGTCAGTCATCATTCCTAGGAAGGAATGATCACTGAAGTGATATGCTCGAGGAAGATATTGCCAGCATGAGGCATTTGATGGCTGAGCGCCTTGAGTTATGGGTGTACAGTTCTCAGGCTTGTCTACAAGTTGTCATGTGACGGAGGGGGGAGGGAGTGAAATGGTGCTGCGTGTTGCATTTGCAACATCATGTTATGTTGTTTGCAACATCGTCTGTGTTGTGGCGGCTGCGAATATGACCTACCATCGGGGTACATATTACTGAAAGTTTGTCATTAATGACCCTCATCGTAGTTGGTATTTCTTCATTTACATATGCAAAAGTAATCCTACAGTCGTTAGCATAATCCCCGAGCCTCAGGGATGAGTTGCAATAGATCGTTGAAATACAACATTCCATGACAAAGAGCCAAGCACACTACCCCATGTTTATCTCTGTATGTTTGTAAACTCACAGAGCCGGTTGGGTAACCGGTTCGGTGTATAGTAACCAGCCTGAGTGAACATATACTCGTGTATATATCGTATACGAGTATATATTACCAGCAACTGTTACTTGATATGGAATCTGAATTAGCGGTCAGAAGAATGCTGGAAATAACAATAATAGTTTTTTGTATTGTAGTGGAACAATACTGTGCAGTGGGATAATACTGTGCAGTGGGATAATACTGTGCAGTGGGATAATACTGTGCAGTGGGATAATACTGTACAGTGGGATAATACTGTGCAGTGGGATAATACTGTGCAGTGGGATAATACTGTACAGTGGGATAATACTGTGCAGTGGGATAATACTGTGCAGTGGGATAATACTGTGCAGTGGGATAATACTGTGCAGTGGGATAATACTGTGCAGTGGGATAATACTGTGTAGTGGGATAATACTGTGCAGTGGGATAATACTGTGCAGTGGGATAATACTGTGCAGTGGGATAATACTGTGCAGTGGGATAATACTGTGTAGTGGGATAATACTGTGCAGTGGGATAATACTGTGCAGTGGGATAATACTGTGCAGTGGGATAATACTGTGCAGTGGGATAATACTGTGCAGTGGGATAATACTGTGCAGTGGGATAATACTGTGCAGTGGGATAATACTGTGCAGTGGGATAATACTGTGCAGTGGGATAATACTGTGCAGTGGGATAATACTGTGCAGTGGGATAATACTGTGCAGTGGGATAATACTGTGCAGTGGGATAATACTGTGCAGTGGGATAATACTGTGCAGTGGGATAATACTGTGCAGTGGGATAATACTGTGCAGTGGGATAATACTGTGCAGTGGGATAATACTGTGCAGTGGGATAATACTGTGCAGTGGGATAATACTGTGCAGTGGGATAATACTGTGCAGTGGGATAAATACTGTGCAGTGGGATAATACTGTGCAGTGGGATAATACTGTGCAGTGGGATAATACTGTGCAGTGGGATAATACTGTGCAGTGGGATAATACTGTGTAGTGGAACAATACTGTGCAGTGGGATAATACTGTGCAGTGGGATAATACTGTGCAGTGGGATAATACTGTGCAGTGGGATATACTGTGTAGTGGGATAATACTGTGCAGTGGGATAATACTGTGCAGTGGGATAATACTGTGCAGTGGGATAATACTGTGCAGTGGGATAATACTGTGCAGTGGGATAATACTGTGCAGTGGGATAATACTGTGCAGTGGGATAATACTGTGCAGTGGGATAATACTGTGCAGTGGGATAATACTGTGCAGTGGGATAATACTGTGCAGTGGGATAATACTGTGCAGTGGGATAATACTGTGCAGTGGGATAATACTGTGCAGTGGGATAATACTGTGCAGTGGGATAATACTGTGCAGTGGGATAATACTGTGCAGTGGGATAATACTGTGCAGTGGGATAATACTGTGCAGTGGGATAATACTGTGCAGTGGGATAATACTGTGCAGTGGGATAATACTGTGCAGTGGGATAATACTGTGCAGTGGGATAATACTGTGCAGTGGGATAATACTGTGCAGTGGGATAATACTGTGCAGTGGGATAATACTGTGCAGTGGGATAATACTGTGCAGTGGGATAATACTGTGCAGTGGGATAATACTGTGCAGTGGGATAATACTGTGCAGTGGGATAATACTGTGCAGTGGGATAATACTGTGCAGTGGGATAATACTACTGTGCAGTGGGATAATACTGTGCAGTGGGATAATACTGTGCAGTGGGATAATACTGTGCAGTGGGATAATACTGTGCAGTGGGATAATACTGTGCAGTGGGATAATACTGTGCAGTGGGATAATACTGTGCAGTGGGATAATACTGTGCAGTGGGATAATACTGTGCAGTGGGATAATACTGTGCAGTGGGATAATACTGTGCAGTGGGATAATACTGTGCAGTATAATACTGTGCAGTGGGATAATACTGTGCAGTGGGATAATACTGTGCAGTGGGATAATACTGTGCAGTGGGATAATACTGTGCAGTGGGATAATACTGTGCAGTGGTAGTGGGATAATACTGTGCAGTGGGATAATACTGTGCAGTGGGATAATACTGTGCAGTGGGATAATACTGTGCAGTGGGATAATACTGTGCAGTGGGATAATACTGTGCAGTGGGATAATACTGTGCAGTGGGATAATACTGTGCAGTGGGATAATACTGTGCAGTGGGATAATACTGTGCAGTGGGATAATACTGTGCAGTGGGATAATACTGTGCAGTGGGATAATACTGTGCAGTGGGATAATACTGTGCAGTGTGCAGTGGGATAATACTGTGCAGTGGGATAATACTGTGCAGTGGGATAATACTGTGCAGTGGGATAATACTGTGCAGTGGGATAATACTGTGCAGTGGGATAATACTGTGCAGTGGGATAATACTGTGTAGTGGAACAATACTGTGCAGTGGGATAATACTGTGCAGTGGGATAATACTGTGCAGTGGGACAATACTGTGCTAGTACGAGTATTTCCTTACATTCCTGCGACTCGGTTGCGTTCCCAGCTCTCTCTCACGCTCTCTTGTTCTCTTTTTAAACTGAGAGTCTCTGCTCTTGACTGACTTGCATATTTCCCGTCAATGTCTTTTACGTGGCGGTCAAGCCTCAGGAAGGAGGTGCCTGGGTGAGGTCAATGTTGCTTGACGGGGCCTGCAAGCAGAGTGCCAGTGCAAGCAGAGCAAGCACTGGTGCCAACCAGTGCCACTGATTATGCTTTATAACTTCGCAAAGCGCCTGATGATTGGTTGAGCTGCTAGCTCTCAGCCAATCATTTACAGCTATTACTTGCCGCTTAATAGCCAAATTGCGGTAAGTGGTGGGAGGGGGGCTTTTGGGGAGGTGGTGGGAGGGGGCTTTTGGGGGAGGTGGTGGGAGGGGGCTTTTGGGGGAGGTGGTGGGAGGGGGCTTTTGGGGGAGGTGGTGGGAGGGGGCTTTTAGGGGAGGTGGTGGGAGGGGGCTTTTGGGGAAGGTGGTGGGAGGGGGCTTTTGGGGAAGGTGGTGGGAGGGGGCTTTTGGGGAAGGTGGTGGGTAACTGTTATGGACTTAATGACATCACATTATAATAGCCAAATAACTGCTTCTTTATCACGTCAGGTGTTTCATCTTAACTTGAAATTAAATATTTGCTTGACAGTCATTTCCTGCTTGTGGGGTGACCGTATGACTCTCTTGTCTTGAGAGAGGATATTACGACGGACTCCAGCACCACCACACACACTCCAGCACCACCACACACACTCCAGCACTACCACACACACTCCAGCACCACCACACACACTCCAGCACCACCACAACACACTCCAGCACCACCACAACACACTCCAGCACCACCAGAACACACTCCAGCACCACCACAACACACTCCAGCACAACCACACACACTCCAGCACCACCACACACACTCCAGCACAACCACAACACACTCCAGCACCACCACAACACACTCCAGCACAACCACAACACACTCCAGCACCACCACAACACACTCCAGCACCACCACAACACACTCCAGCACCACCACAACACACTCCAGCACCACCACAACACACTCCAGCACCACCACAACACACTCCAGCACCACCACAACACACTCCAGCACCACCACACACACACTCCAGCACCACCACAACACACTCCAGCACCACCACAACACACTCCAGCACCACCACAACACACTCCAGCACCACCACAACACACTCCAGCACCACCACAACACACTCCAGCACCACTACAACACACTCCAGCACCACCACAACACACTCCAGCACAAGCACCACACACACACTCCAGCACCACCACAACACACTCCAGCACCACCACAACACACTCCAGCACCACCACAACACACTCCAGCACCACCACAACACACTCCAGCACCACCACAACACACTCCAGCACCACCACAACACACTCCAGCACCACCACACACACTCCAGCACCACCACAACACACTCCAGCACCACCACAACACACTCCAGCACCACCACAACACACTCCAGCACCACCACAACACACTCCAGCACCACCACAACACACTCCAGCACCACCACAACACACTCCAGCACCACCACAACACACTCCAGCACCACCACAACACACTCCAGCACCACCACAACACACTCCAGCACCACCACAACACACTCCAGCACCACCACAACACACTCCAGCACCACCACAACACACTCCAGCACCACTACAACACACTCCAGCACCACCACAACACACTCCAGCACCACCACAACACACTCCAGCACCACTACAACACACTCCAGCACCACCACAACACACTCCAGCACCACCACAACACACTCCAGCACCACTACAACACACTCCAGCACCACCACAACACACTCCAGCACCCAGCGTCGCTACAACATGAGCCTTGAGCCTAACATATCCACTTTACCGTGTTTACAGCCAGCACAGGAAGGTGGTGTTATGGAGCACTGTGCATTACACTACACCTTTACCTGGGATTACTGTAACAACTGACCTACACACACACTCACTAATCTGTACATCAGTACGGTTGAGAGGCGGGACCGAAGAGCCAAAGCTCAACCCCCACAACCACAGGTGATTACTAGGTGAGTACTCACTCACTCACATTCCCTACAGCATATTACAACTAGTTGTAGTTACAAATTCAAATTCAAATTCAAATTCAAATTCAAATTCAGTTATCATTACCATAACGTACACGTGGTTCGCCTCCCGCCCACACATCTTAGGGTGAGTGTAAACACAGCTCACACATCACGAGACATCTTAGGGTGAGTGTAAACACAGTTCACACATCACGAGACATCTTAGGGTGAGTGTAAACACAGTTCACACATCACGAGACATCTTAGGGTGAGTGTAAACACAGCTCACACACCACGAGACATCTTAGGGTGAGTATAAACACAGTTCACACACCACGAGACATCTTAGGGTGAGTGTAAACACAGTTCACACATCACGAGACATCTTAGGGTGAGTGTAAACACAGTTCACACATCACGAGACATCTTAGGGTGAGTGTAAACACAGTTCACACACCACGAGACATCTTAGGGTGAGTATAAACACAGTTCACACACCACGAGACATCTTAGGGTGAGTATAAACACAGTTCACACACCACGAGACATCTTAGGGTGAGTATAAACACAGCTCACCCACCACGAGACATCTTAGGGTGAGTGTAAACACAGTTCACACATCACGAGACATCTTAGGGTGAGTGTAAACACAGTTCACACATCACGAGACATCTTAGGGTGAGTGTAAACACAGCTCACCCACCACGAGACATCTTAGGGTGAGTATAAACACAGCTCACACACCACGAGACATCTTAGGGTGAGTGTAAACACAGCTCACCCACCACGAGACATCTTAGGGTGAGTATAAACACAGCTCACACACCACGAGACATCTTAGGGTGAGTGTAAACACAGCTTACCTACCACGAGACATCTTAGGGTGAGTATAAACACAGCTCACACACCACGAGACATCTTAGGGTGAGTGTAAACACAGTTCACACATCACGAGACATCTTAGGGTGAGTATAAACACAGTTCACACACCACGAGACATCTTAGGGTGAGTATAAACACAGCTCACACACCACGAGACATCTTAGGGTGAGTGTAAACACAGCTCACCCACCACGAGACATCTTAGGGTGAGTATAAACACAGCTCACCCACCACGAGACATCTTAGGGTGAGTATAAACACAGCTCACACACCACGAGACATCTTAGGGTGAGTAAACACAGTTCACACATCACGAGACATCTTAGGGTGAGTATAAACACAGCTCACACACCACGAGACATCTTAGGGTGAGTAAACACAGTTCACACATCACGAGACATCTTAGGGTGAGTATAAACACAGCCTCGGAGGCAAATGTTCAATTTGAGTAAAATATTGAATTTATTCAGCTATCACAAAGGATTAAGCATGCTGGAATGATCTTGATTTTTCCTTTACTGTTTTACACTACCCATTTAAAGTATTATTTTTCTATTTTATAGTATATATTTACATTAATCATTTTATTTTACCATTATATACAACTTTGTACTATGACCTGATAGGGGTTTCTGGCGGTAAAACATTGTACTGTGGTCACACAGTGGCCTCTGGTGGTAGAGTGTGGTGGTAGATAGAGTCTACTGGTAGAGTGTGGTGGTAGATAGAGTCTACTGGTAGAGTGTGGTGGTAGATAGAGTCTACTGGTAGAGTGTGGTGGTAGAGTCTCCTCTACCTCACGTTTCTCCCTCACGCTCCCCCACACATGCTTCCCCCCCCCACACACACGCTCCCCCACACCCATTAGTAATGGGGACGCAGCGACATTATCAACCATTTCTCTCCCGTTTTTACACATTCCATTTGCGATAAAAAAGACATTCGCTTCCATTTTTGTAAAATGTTTTTTGATGATCTCGTCTCCATGTTGGAATTTCTGAAAACTTGTTCGTTTTTATGCATATTTCAGGCCTACGTTTAAGACATGTGGTATAGCTGGATTATATCCACCCACAGACAGACAGACAGACAATTATCACCCACAGACAGACTGGCAGATAGACAATTATCACCCACAGACAGACTGGCAGATAGACAATTATCACCCACAGACAGACAGACAGATAGACAATAATCACCCACAGACAGACAGACAGACAATTATCACCCACAGACAGACAGGCAACCAGACATTTATTACCCACAGACAGACGCGACAGTAATCACTGGCCTTCTGACACAGTGCCATCTGTGGACCGTAATTAAGACTGTGCCACAGAGAGCTTCAGACCTCTCCCCGGGGCGGGCATCTCTCTTGCTGACTCTCCAAATTAAATTCGGCAGCTAGCAGGGAGGTGGGTGCTAGCTAGTAGGGGGGTAGGTGGGTGGGTGCTAGCAGGGAGGTGGGTGCTAGCAGGTGGGTGGGTGCTAGTAGGTGGGTGGGTGCTAGCAGGGAGGTGGGTGCTAGCAGGGA